GGAAGAGCTGGTGGGGAATGTGAAGCTCAAGGGCAGCCTTGGCTGCAGTGACCATGAAATGGTGGATTTACTTAGGGAACTTCTAAGATACTTAGGGCAGCGATGAGGGTGCACAGTAAGCTCACTATCCTGGGCTTCAGGAGAGCAGACTTTGGCCTATTCAGGGGTCTGCTTGGTAGAGTACCATGGGATAAAGCTGTGGAGGGAAGAGGGGCCCAAGAAAGCTGGTTAATATTCAAGAATCACCTCCTCCAAACTCAGGAGCGATGCAATCCAACAAAGACGAAGTCAGGTAAAAATGCCAAGAGGCCTGCATGGATGTCAAAGGAGCTCCTGGACAAACTCAAACACAAAAAGGAAGTCTAAAGAGTGTGGCAGCAAGGATTGGTAGCCTGGGAGGAACACACAAACATTGTCTGAGCACCCAGGGATCAGGTTAGGAAAGCTAAAGCCCTGATAGAATTAAATCTGGTCAGGGATGTCAAGGGCAACAAGAAAAGCTTCTGTAAGTACATTGGTGATAAAGGGAAAACTAGGGAAAATGTGGGCTCTCTCCAGAATGAAATGGGAGACCTGGTTACCTGGGATATGGAGAAGGCTGAGGTACTCAACAACTTTCCTGCCTCAGTCTTCACCGGTAAATGCTGAAGCCAAACCCCGCCAAGTTGCAGAAGGCAAAGGCAGGGACTGGGAGAATGAAGAACCACCCACTGTAGAAGAAGGTCAGGTTTGAGACCATCTAAGGAACCTGAAGGTGCACAAGTCCATGGGACCTGATGTGATGCATCTGCAGGTCCTGAGGGAACTGATGGATGAAGTTGACAAGTCACTATCCATCATATTTAAGAAGCTGTGGCAGTCCAGTGAAGTTCCCACTGACTGGAAAAGCAAAAACGTAACTGCTATTTTTAAAACAGGAAAAAATGGAAGACCTGGGGAACTACAGGCCAGTCAGTCTCACTTCTGTGGTGGGCAAGATCATAGAGCAGATCCTCCTGGAAATTAGGGTAAGGCACATGGAAAATGAAGAGGTGATAGGTGACACCCAACATGGCTTCACTGAGGGCAAATTGTGTTTGACGGATTTGGTGGCCTTCTGCGACGGGATTACGGTATTGGTAGATATCAGAAGAGCGACTGCTGTCATATACCTGGACTTGTGCAAAGCATTTGACAGTGTCCCACACGACACCCTTGTCTCTAGATTGGAGACACATGAATTTGATGGATGGACCACTTGGTGGGTAAGGAATTGGCTGGATAATGACACTCAAAGAGTTGTGGTCAACAGCTCAGTGTCCAGGCAGAGACCAGTGAAGCGTGGCATTCCTTGAGGGTCAGAATTGGGACCGGTGCTGTTTAACATCTTTGTTGGCAACATGGACAGGTAGATTGAGTGCACCCTCAGCAAGTTTGCTGACCACACCAAAGCTGTGTTGTGTGGTCGACATACTGGCGGGAAGGGATGCCATTCAGAGGGGCCCATGTGACTCTCATGAGGTTCAACAAGGCCAAGTGCAAGGTCCTGCAACTGGATTGGGGCAATCTCACACACGAATACAGGCTGGGCAGAAAATAGATTGAGAGTAGTCCTGAGGAGAAGGACTTGGGGGTGTTGGTGGATGAGAAGCTCAACTAAATCCAGCAATGTGCACTTGCAGCCCAGAAGGCCAACTGTATCCTGGGCTGCATCAAAAGCAGCGTGACCAGCAAGATGAGGAAGGGTATTCTGCCCCTCTACTCCACTCTGGTGAGACCCTACCTGGAGTACTGCGTCCAGCTCCGGGGCCCCCAACATAAGAACAACATGGACTTGTTCAAGCATGTCCAGACAAGGGTCACCAAAATGATCAGAGGGATGGAACACCCCTCCTGTGAGGACAGGCTGAGAGAGTTGGGGTTGTTCAGCCTGGAGAAGAGAAGGCTCCGGGAAGACCTTATTGCAGCCTTCCACTACCTGAAAGGGGCCTACAAGAAAGCTGTAGAGGGACTTTTTACAAGGGCAAGGAAAAGGTGTAATGGCTTTAAACTGAAAGAGGGTAAATTTACGTTAGACATAAGGGAGAAATTTTTCACAGCGAGGGTAGTGAAACACTGGAACAGCTTGCCCAGAGAAGTTGTGGATGCCCCATCCCTGGAAGTGTTCAAGGTCAAGTTGGATGGAGCTTTGAGCAACCTGGTCTAATGGAAGGTGCCCCTGCCCATGGCAAGGGGGTTGGACTAGATGATCTTTAAGGGCCCTTAAAGTCCAGTCCAAACCATTCTATAATTCTATGACTTCCTAGATTGCTACCCAATTTCCCGAGTACATTTGTACCACTGCTAACAAGGTTAGACTCTGCAAAGAGCGGAACTGAAGGATTCACATTTAGAAATATAAAAAGATGGTAGTAAAGACTTATATTTAATCAAGTTAAAGTAAGGCAAGCAAAAGACAAGCTTTTCAGACAACAGTCCCTTGATAAAAGTAAATAGAGCAGTAAGAGTGGGTCCTTAACAGGCTACTAATTTTTCTAACAAGCTAGTCATTAACAGTTTACCAGAATACCATGGGGTTAAAGAACACTGGGTGCTATCAAAAATGTCATTCCTTTGGAAAGAAAGGAACTTAATTTTACCTTGGAAGTGAGTGGTGTAAAAAACAGTCCCAGCATAGCCATTGACAAAAATGTGCAGCTGTGGGGCATACACTATGGCTGGGGGTTCAACAGTTCAATTTGAAAATTCTCTGTACCACTTGCAACAAGACTAAGACTAAAACTCCAATTCTCATAGAACAAATTCAATGTAGCACCTTAACTGCAGTCTAGGAAAAGGCAGATTTTTAATATAACCCAGCAGTAGTCCACTAGGTTGCATGATTATATAACCCATGTACTTTGTACAGAAAAAACAGGAGACTTGCGTAATGCAGGTAGAGATACTCAAAGATGCTGCAGGTAGCAGACAGCATCTAGCTACCTGTAGCCAGTCAAGACTAAAGAGATAGTTCTTAAGCTGTCGATGTAAAGTAAATAGATCAGTTTATGGAAATTTAGGTTTGCCTCACTTACAGTAATGATACGGAAAGAAGTCACTTTAGAGGAAATGACTGACTCAGCCCAAGTAACACAAACACACACACACACACACACAAAAAAAACACCCAGAACACATCAAATCAAGTGTAGAGTAGGAGTTGTGTATCAAAGTAGATGATCTACAAAGCAGTGTGAATAAAGTGCTGGAAACACTAAATAAGGAAGAGATTAAAAAAAAAAACACACAGACTTAATTTAGTTATGAAATACCAGGATACAAAGTATAGCAGCATCCATGCATTGTTTTTGTGCATTGAGTAGTGCAACAACTAGAACTCAGCCACAGAAAGTTTCAGACTGAACAAAAATAGGTTTTCATCGCTTATAATATAAAATATTGCCAGGCATTACAAAGGGAATAGGTCATTGAAAGTTTATGAATATACTTGTTTAAAAGTAAAAACCTACAGCCACTGGATTATGTGATCTCCAAAAATATTTTATAGAAGTATGCCAAATTCTACTGGAGTCAGCAAGAATGAGTCTGACCCTTAATAAAAGAATGTTTTGAGAACAAAGCCTGATCCTTACTGTGCTTAATACATGACCATCCGATGTATAACACCAACTCACTGAACCCACACTTCAATAATCTTGTCAACATACCACCAACTTTTCTTTAAGTAAATCCAAGATTTAACAGGTTGCTCAAACTGCCAACAGATAGATAAGTCTGTTCTTAGAAGCATGGTTGATAACAATGAAAACACATTCAGGATGTCCTTCCTAATCTAAGTCTGCTGCTTTCCTATGGTTATGGAAGAAGAGTAGATGAAAACATACACTTTTTTTGCCTGTAAACTGGTGTACTCTTAAGGATGTTTGCATGACTGACATTACAACATGTCACTGGCTATTAACAGGAGTTCAAAACTCTGTAAGGACCTAGATAGAGGGAAACCACTCTTAACTGCAACTTTTTGTTGAAAGAGAAGAAAGGACTCAATGGCAAGACTGAAGGAACAAAGAATATGTTCTAACAGAGTGCCAAAAAACCTGTTACAATTCTCTCTGCCCCACTCTCTCCAAGAAAACAGATCAGTCAAATTTGCAGTCTATGCCCTGTTTGTACCTGCATAGAGTAGTTGCCCAGAAATACTAATTTTTATAATTATTTTAATAATCACATTTTTTAAGAGGTCATACATGCTTATGATTCTACTGCACACAAATAAGCTCAGCCTTAACAGTCTACCAAAGCCAAATTACTGAAAAATTTGATGTATGCTGCTTTGGTGTATTTATTTTATTGTACCATCAACAAGCCACAGCATCACAGAAGTCTTTTATTCAAGCATCTCTTAATCAATAATTAAAAATTTGAAATAAAAAGAACCTGTTGTGAAAGTTATCCTACATCGATGCACCACCTCCTGTGCCACTGCTTCATCACCCTTTTGCTCTCCAGCTGCACACTTCTACAAACATTTTAAAGAGCTTGCTCCATTACACAAGGTGTGCATCAGTTGCTGAAGTAACTGCTTCAGATACCCACTGTAAACAATTACAGACTCTCATACGTGACAAAACAGGTGCCACACAAGGAGTCTGCGAGTTTGCGCTACACATTTATGGTCAGAATAGTACTAAGCTTAGTTTCAATATGTTTTTATCTTACACAATTTACCACTGTCTACCAGTCTGTAAGTCCCCTTAACTTCCCTCAGAAAGGAGGAAATAAAAAAAAAAAACAACTTTAAAGTATACTTTCAACAGCTTTTCCTTGGAAAGAGGTTGCACACCAGTTGGTGCACACATTTTGGCATAAGATAACTACCATTTGAGAATTTATATGCTGCACTTCTTACCAGAAGCAGTCTAAAACAATCTCTTGAGACCAACCAGACACCACCACCCCCTTTGGAATTCCTATCCTCTCTAGATATTGCAGATGTTACCAAAATGTTAAAAGTTACTTACGGTTTCCCCCCAGGAATTCCTGCTAGATTTGGAGGGATTCCAGGTACTCTCATGTGAGGAGGGGGATCAAACCCAACCTGACAATGAAAAATGAATCAGTCTCACACTTGTAATTTCTCGTTCGGCAAACCCCTTTTCTTCACCCCCAAAATATTATGTATTTAACCAAAATGTGGCTTTTACCCACAGTATAAAATAAGTGCACGCCCCTTCATGGGGCAGGGGATGACATTTTCTGTAGACATGCTCTGCTAGAAGTATTCGTATGCAAACAGAAAACCAGGAACGTATATCACGCATTCACACCACCGAGCATAACACGAATACCTGTGTTAGCACAGCGTTAGCCCTGGAACTAGAGTCCGTGGCGGGTCGGCGCGTAGCCACGCAGTGCCCGTCAGCGGCGTGACAGCGAGCGCGTGCCCGTGCAGGCACAGCACAGCGCTGGCAAGCAGCTCCAGGCCCTAGCGAGAATCTCGGCATGGCTTCACGCTGCACTGCGTGGGCACATCAGCCGAGATCTTTCTCACAGAGCCACGCTGCAGGCAAATTTATCTACAGCTTAAATATACCATGCTCTCTTTACATCCTGCAATTCCACTGAACTTTTATGTATGTATAAATATGAATAAATATGGGCATCAAATAATCCAAACAGAAATTCTAGGCCAAACAGACTTAGTTTTTCTTCTGCACACAATACCCGAGTTAAAATTCTTACTGCTTTAAAGAGCACATATGCTATTCAGAATTTCTACACTTTCACTTAAAATCCCTGTTTAACAGTTTGAAAAAAGTAGCTATATCTACAATAATAAGAAGATGACAAACCTAAATCCAATCTTGCAAATTTACAAGTAGGTAAATCTGTCTATGCATAAAGCTTCCATCAAGCTCATGTTTGCAGAATCATGTTTACTGTTAAGAATTCTGCTCAACAGCAGCCATAACTACTGTGGTCCATTTACTTACTACACCCACAACAGCAACGATTCTTAACACACCTTATCGTAGAGCTTCAAGATATGTACCGACCAAGTTCTCACGTCAATTTCCACAAAACACAGAGACATAAATAAAAAGACTTCTATAGGCTTCAAGATCAATTTGGTATGTCTGTATGGAACACAAATCTGGTTCACTGAGAGAAAAGCAGATGTCCACAGCACCAATGAAATACCAAAACTACCTTTCCATTTAAAGCATAAAATAATTTTTTGGCATTTATTAATCAGTCAAAGCACTGATGAAGGTGAAGAAAGAAGGAAACATACACAAATACACGGAGATTCTTTGTTTTCAAGGTGCAAATTTGTTCCTCCAGCCACGCAGCAAAGTGAAACACACAGTGAAGCTGTCAAGCCTCTGGCACTGTTATAACTTGGGAATTCAACAGTGCTAAATGAAGCATGTAGCTTTTCTCAGTGAACCACAACTCACACGACTGAGACTGCATGCAACGTATGGCCTACCATAGGAGATCTTCCATAGGCAACCACAGCAGCTGCAGCAGCAGCAGCACTCATCTGGGGTGACATATTGTGCAGACTGGCATAGGCTGCCCCTGGACTGGTTAACTCTCCATTCATGCCAGCATGAGGAACCATTCCAAAGGGAGCAGGGTACGGTCCCGGTACTGCCAACGGTGTCCGCAAACCTGCAGCTATGGAATAATGCAATCAGGTACCTTTATTTACATATTCCTTCATACAGGGAAGAAAACAGACCTTTTATTCCCCTGCAATACCTAACCTTCCCCTCTCACATACACACACTGCCAAGAAACATTGACATAATTTATCAGTACCACCACCTCTTTTCACTCAATGCAAATAAGATCTACTGAAGCCTGAACTTGCTGATTACTTCTAACAATCTCTTCTAACATTACTTATTTCCATTTCTGTAATATCTCCCTGTTTATATTAATCTTTCCTTTGCCAAATTAAGCAGTAAGGCTGACAGACATGGCTTACACAGCTCCTGTCTGAAGCAACTTTGTTGTACTAGTCTGAATAGCAAAAAGTAAACTTCCCCCTGCATTTGTCAAGATTTACATGGCAGCAAATATTAGTAGACTCAAACAAAGAGCTGGAGAAGAGACTGCATTCACAATAAGTACCAGAAACTTCTGAGAAGTCTTTTTATATTGTATGCAGTCTCTGGATTACTTGCAAAAAAGATAAAGACAAAAGTAAACACAGAAGGATAAGAGATAGAAAGATATTAAAACTCTTGATAATCCAAACATCTGCTTCTCATCAAGCCCTCTCTTGATATCAAGAGCAAAGCAATGTATTTAGTTAACATTCACACAGAACACCTACGTGAAAAAAGATTAATTTTAGAACCATAAAAAAACACGTGAGATAATGCATTACCAGCTTGGTTAACCAGAGGGTCCATTGCTGGAGGCTTGCCAAGGCCTGGACGAAGTCCTGGAGTTGCACTAGTGCCTGGGGTTGGCACATCACTTCGAGGAGTTGGTGTGCTGGATTTCAGAACAGGCGTGCTGGCTTTTTCATGCTGGTATCATTAAACAAATTAAATGAGTATTATTTTTAATCCAGGCCATATTATACAATTTATCACAACAGCAGCTGGGATGCTGGGCACCTACTACTTAGTCCCTCAGCCAATTTTCATAAATCCATGCAATGCTGACAACATTAACTTGTGAGAGAGAAATGTTGATCTTTTTGATTGCTGCTGGAATTAAAAATAAGAAAAGAAAGTAGAAAGTTATTTTTTCTTTCTTCCATTAGCATGAAAAAAACCCAAAGCCTGAGCTAATTTTTTTTTCAGAACAATACACTATGCATGACCAAATTATTTTAGCTTGAAATCATTACTGTCTCAATTATTATTGGACACACCAAATCAAAATACTACCATAGCTGATAGTAACAAAAAATTGTGACACAAAAACTACGGAGAATCTGGCCAAATTATTAGTGATACTGCAGGAAGAGTTTTCAAAAAGTAGAAGCTTATTTAGAAGAGTTTAACAAAAGCCTCAAGAAGTTCTTAATGACTATATACAGGCTATGTTAAACCATAAGATACTGCTCAAGAAGTAAAAAAAAACAATGCTTAAGTGACTTTTGTACTTTTTAACAAATTTGTAACTCATTTGACAGAAATGTAGGAAATACAGGAAATCCAAATGAAGCAGAAAATATTGCTGAGCAGGAAAGCTGTTTAATACTATAAAGGTCTGGAAAAACAGTAGTCTATTTCAACTTCAAATGTTTAAAAAGCCATGTACTTTCTGCCACAAGTAGTTGCAGGAGAATGGAGAGTTAGATTTTATAAGAAAGAACAAGATTTATCTCGACAACAGACTGCTACCCACCAGACTCATTTCTTTGGATTTGAGAGAAGTGGAACTTCCTGAAGAGGCTGTAGATGCTGGACTGCTAGAGGCATCTTTCTTCAGCAGGCGGGTTTTATCTATACCATTTTCACGTGGTGAATGAGTGGGACTTGCCCTTGGGGAAGAAGGATCCTGAAACAACAGGAACGGAAGAACAGCACAGAACCGTGTCATAGGCTGGTACACAAACAACACTGAGAAGTCTATGGGGAAAAAAACTAGAAGAATTTAAGCAGTAAGTTCAAATAATAAGACTTTTTTTATCTCTATAGAAAAAAAGCTGAAATTCCTTCCTCAATTTAAAGATGTAAGTAAGTTCATACAGTAAGCAATCTGGTTTTATTTTATACTACATGTAATCATAAACTGTTTCCAAGCATAGAGCTTGCAATCTAAGTATACCTAAGTACAAACTAAAGCAAGTGCACACAACTCGTGATAAGACCAACAGTAACTTCAGTAAGTTTACACTTTTTTCAATGTACATTCTCCACACACTGCTAGTGACAACAAACATTTCAATAATCTCTTTTAGGCCGTACAAACCTTGCTCATCTCTAATAGAGACGCATGCCTTATATGCCAAAATATCTGTCACTTCTTCCTAAATACCATCTGCAATTGCCTCACTACTTAAATCTATAGGAAAAACTTAAATCCCCTCTCAGGTGATTATCTTTCTCTCTTCCAGAGGCACTCTCTCCATTAACTTTAACCTGAAATAGCCAGCCCAGCAAGCTATAATGCCATCAGAGCCCTGCAGGTTCTCTATGCTCCTCTAGCTCATGAGAACAGCAGCAGGGAGGACGCAGTCCTCACAAAAGGGGACTAAGTCTACTGATTGATTATTGAGCAGTTTCATTGTAAGTAAGGCTTCTGAAAGGATTACTAAAATCCCTAGTTGGATACCCATTTTTCTACTTGGCTGACATCATTTGGGCATTTGGAGCTGCTGAAGACACTTTTCTATGAGCTTCTCTCCCTGTGCGTTTCACAGAGCAGAAGAACCTCACTAGCATATTCAGGCTTCCTAAATCTCTTTGTTGTATGAAATAAAAGATGAAGAAAACTGAAGGCACATCCCTTCACGTTGAAGACATTGCCAAATCTCTTCCCTGGAAAAAAAAGTAACTACAACCTCTGGAAAATTTTGTGAACTGACTGACTTCATTCTGACTTCAGCTGACTTCATTCTAAAAAAACAAGCATTTCTGGAAGATGCTGTCTTTAACACAGGATGTTAAAAAACTAGTAATTTTTAAGGTACCAAAAATATTTTTAATAGAACTCCTACTATTAAATTCAAGGTTAAAAACTGCCTGCCTTTTTCATTTGAAGACAGTGGTTTGGAAACCTTAGCCCTCCACCTGCATCTCACCACAACACTCTCCACTACAGAGCAGCTGTGAAGCGTCAGAACATAACTGCAGAGGGAACAGACCTGGACAAAGCAGCAGAAAGAAAAGCCAGGAGGGCAACCAGATAAAGCTCAGAGGAAGACATAGTAACTGCAGTACTACAAAAAGGAAAAGCTGTGAATATTTTAACATATCCACACAGAAGAGTCTTTTGTCTTCTAACATCTAAATGCACTTTTCCTTTAACCTTTGGGCAAACGTCAAGACTACAAAAATGAAAAAAGTTACCTCATTGGATACATCTACAACCAAGTTATCGTCACTCTTGTCCCCATCACTGTCCTATTAAAAATAAATAAATATAGTGTTCATTTCAATTAGTACATTAATAGCCCAGAGAGAAAGACTATGCATCTACTTAGACATTTTTTCGTGGTTTTTTTTTTCCTAAACAAAAAGCAAACAGCCTTTCATTATCTTTTTAGCAATAGGGAAAACAATTAAAACAGGAACACAACACCTTATTTCTGCTTCAGTAATAAAACCCAAATAAGGTAGAACTAGTTGAAAGGTGGTGGTCTCACCATCGGTGCAAGATGGTCCAAAACCCCTCCTTATTACCATCATGAACAGTGTTATCACTACGCCTAAAAGAGAAACTCATTCTATTCACATGCTAATCTTATTTGTTAATCTGACGGAAATTACTGCTTGTGCATACCTAAAAAACAACAGATCTTAGAAAATTGGAGGTTTTTTGGCACTTGTTTGATCTATCAATTTCCCCAAAGTGACAGGACAATTTTTCTCCTTTTCCAGAAAGGAAAGTCTTGAAATGGAAAATTCTAGCAAAGAAAAAACTTCAGAAATGCCAAGGCATTTCAACATTTCTGTCTAACAAAACCAAAATACTTTGAAATTCCTAAATGAAAATATTTTATTGTGGCTTGTCAGGCTGCACTTTGACTCATTCACATGTATCTGTGTTCACCTGAGCTGCTCTAGTGCCTCACGATAGCTGTTACTGGAGTGCCTCCAGGTCCCTATCTCCAAAATGGCCTGGGAAGGCCCAGTAGACACATTCTATAACAACACAGTGGTCTAGTGATTTCTGCAGCGCACCTTCGTGACTCAACCAGAAGGTGAGTCTTGACTCAGAAACAAACAAACAAAAAAATCAAGTGAATGACAAAACTTTAAATATTTTTCTGGGTAAGTTTGACATTTCCAATAATAACCCTTTTAGTTAAAAAAGTTTCTAGGCAAAGAAATCAGCCATACAAGACTGCTCAAACTGTCCCCCATCTCTTGCTTCCAAAGTGTCTGGGCTATTACACTTAACACTGGCAGACAGAAAGTAAAAACACCAGTTCCTTCCTCTCAGTTCAGGCCATAAATGTTTAAAAAAAACCCAAACAAACCCCCAAAACTCCAACAGGTAGTTTCAAGCCTTCCCTTCTGCTTTAGCAGCTGAATATTGCTCCAAGAAATAACACAAACATATTCGAGATTCAAGAGTGCCACTGAAGACAGAATGTTGGCTCTATTTGCCACTCATAGCAGTCCAACCAAAGGATGCAAAAGGAGAAGGAAGAGGAAAGCTTCAGCCCCAGCTATCTGCCACCTCTTGAAAAGCATAAAGCACCCAGAAGTCAAGAATAGGTTAGAGCGCAGTAGGTGGGACACTTGTTGACCAGAAATACTACCCCCAAGGAGGGCAAAAATAGCTGACAATGATTAAGTGCACTCCACTGACTTCATCATCTTGAGAAATAGAAGTTTACTAGGACTATCAAAGGCTTCTCCTATATGAACTATTAATATCAGAATATTCTCCTCACTAACAAACACATAGCTTGAAACTATAGAGGCCCTAACAGGAACATTAGTCAGAAATCAAAAAGAAGAAAAACAAATTGCATTGTGCATCTTATTTCCAAAAGCAACAATTCCTAAAACTCATTTATCTCCCTTCTGACAAAAGCAGTACTTCTTTGTCCCTACAAGGGCCTCATCTAAAATGAGCTTGAAATCAGTAGTTCTGTGTTTGCAGAATTGGGGAACCTTTAAAAAGAAAGATCTTCATCCAGATCAGAATAAATCTGGAACTTTCACAGACCCTTGTTTTGCTCAGTTATTTATTTTGATGCTGCCTTTATCTGTAAATTCCATTTCAAGCAAACAGCAAACAGAACCACACATTTAAAACATGGATTAAAACAAACTGCTTCTACAGTGCAATAATATCCTTTCTTATGCTTAATCTTCAAATATTTAAAATTAAAAATGCCCATAGACAACCAAACCCTCAAATTTGAAGGAGTAACATGGGGAAGTTTGCTGAACCCTTCTGTAATCGAAACAAGATTATTAGAAAGTGGTGGAAATACAGCTTGCAAAACCGTAACAGTACTACACCACCACAACGTGCAGAAGGGGAAAGCAGATGGGGTATCTGCTGTCAGTAGCTCCAGGGATATCCAATAGCTGCTCAGAGATATTCTGGGTCCAAGTGGAAAGATATTACCCTACCAAATACTGAGGAAATAAAGCGAGACCTGATTTTCTCTTGGGTTTCGGTAACCAGGATTAGTTAGTCATTAGATTCAAAGAAACCAGACAAATTGCCACATTACTGCTATGCCAAAGAATAATATCATCTGTTAGATTTAAGTTCTGCCTTTCAGTGCTTGCACACCAGTCTAGTCTATAAAGCCTGTTCAAGTATCATCCTGCGATTTAGCCGAGCATTTAGACTTGAAGTTGAAAGCCTATGTGAATCTTTTGAGGTTCACGTACACCATACACCACACTGTTGTACTGAAGTGTCTCTTCAAAACCAAGCAACAAGGAAGCTAGTAAAAAATGCAGAACACAAACTGGGAACTTTTTATATTTCAATTTGCTTTCTGCTGAAATTGCCCTATCAACCAAAAGCAAACAAGCAAACTTTAGTAAATTGGTACAACCTCATAACATATGCTATTTGCAATGATAATTATTACTCAACACAGTAATACCTAGTATCAGAAAAACGTACTAAAACCCTCCAGATCAATAAAAATCTCCACTTCAAACAAACCTGTATGTTTTAGAGCAGTCCAGAAAGGATCTCTTGCTTGAACTCTGAGAAATGTCCCAGAATACTTGTGAATCACAAACAGCTACTCCTGGCTCATTATTCCCCATTGAGGAGTATTACTTGACAATAGCCCAAACTGTTGAGTCACTACCCTTCCCACAACTTGAATAATGGTTTCTCTGGCACATATATCCATGTACTACATCAACCGTAGGAAACACATTGCCTTGTTCTTCACAGCTCTTTCGCTCCTCATACAAGCACAGCAAGTGCAAATAAATTAATCATTTCTTTGACACAGATTTGCTTACATAGTGGCTGGAATCCTTATCATCCACCTTTCTCTTTTTGATGTCATTGGTATATTCAGGGCCATTCCTGCGTTTATCTGTGCTTCGCAGACTGTCTGGGACCAACAGAGAATTACTCTGTAAAGACAAAAAAAAAAGGTCAATCAAAAATTCCTTTCAAGATTCCTTCATATATGCTTAAAAACTCAAATTGGAGGTGATAGATGCTTTAGAAATGTGATACCTACACAGTCTTTCATTCCATTTAATTCAACTCAAAGTCCTCCAGGCAAACATGTACAGCTTTATGCATTCTATGAAGCTTGGCATTTCATTGTTCAACTTGTCAAAAGTTTAGTTCACTTGTCAGTCACCATCTATTTAACTAATTAATTCAACTGAATTTATTGTTTAGGAGAAGCAGGCTTGCTGTTTATGTATGAGCAGGTAACAATGATTTTTTTTTTTAATATACAGATCCCATGTAATAGGAGACTTACTAAATATAATCTGATTGATTGCTCATTTCCAGACCACCATAAGGTAAGGTAAGGACCAAGACAGGTAAGGCTTTGGTACGTCTACATCTGACAGCATGGATAGATATATAGCAACTTGCCTTTTAACTCTTAAAATAACAAATATTTACCTATAAGGTTATGCAGTAATCATTTAGTAGCTGCGGTAAACTCCAATGAGACGCCTTCAACAAAGATATTGCAAACAAAGATCAAATGTTTTTACTTCCAGCATAACATTCACTACTAGTGTGAAATTAAGGCTAAAGTGTTGTTTAATCAGACTTAATCTGAAAAACTGAAGCCAACACACAGACACAAGAGACAAAAGCAAAGACTAATCTTTTCCTCAAACTACATGGACTGCTTTCATTCATGTTAAGTTATGCTAAGTACAAACTGTTGACCCAAAAAGAAAGGCATTTTAGACATTTTTTCAGTCACATGACTATTCGACATGCCTGCGATTCCCATCTCCATCTCCGTTCCAGCTAAAGCATTAAAATGTGTTACAATGAGTTCTTTTAAGTGCAGGATTAGCATATGCAAGAGGGCAATTTGTTCAGTGATGTGTTAATGCTGTGAACAATACTGAATGAGTTGAGAAAAAAATCTCCTTTCACAAAGACCTGGTAAACCTAGTTCCTAAAAGCAAAGTACATGGTTACATAAATAAATATATGCTCACATAAATATATCAGTGAATAAGTATTCATACACCTACACGTATCACTCACAGAAGAAAAGCTTATTAACAAAATATATATACTGTAAGTGTAGCCCTCAAAAGAAATACTCAGATCTACCCAAAAGCCAGAGGTATTTACTATTAATATGTCATAAACATATACTAATAACCAATGAACTGTGCATCGAATGGCTTCCCCTTTAAAACCTGAAGGCACCACAGTAGTTTTGCTCAGACATTAATGTTTAGTCCCAAGGAGATGGAAAACAAAACAGAGCAATCTGAATCCTCTTTTTCCTACTTCAGAAGCTGCACTTTAAGGCCAACTCTAAGCTCTTTTATTCATGACTATTCAAGCTAAACAAATGCCAAGGGGCTTACATAAAGCATATAGCAGGGTCTAATGAAATTCAATATAAAGAAGCTCAAAATAATGTCTTTACCACAATGTTTTGCAGCTAAAAGGTGGGCTTGTTGAATCACTGAACTAACTGCCTTGACAAATACAGTCTGAATTTAACCCCTCATCTCCTCCCAGATGCACACAAACTCAGTGATTCACTAGTCTGAAAAACATTAAAACCCATGTTCAACATTTTAATATTGAATCCATGATGTCTGTGGAAATAGAAACTTCTTAAGAAGCAAGCTGTCAATTCAAACTTGATCACAGATTTGAGTACTGCAAATGTCTTTTCTTAAAGAGGAAAGTCACTTATGAGATACTTTCCTTAACAAAAATAATTACAAAAAAAAAATTTATTTTACTACTGAAAAGCTTAGAATAAAATAATGAAGGCAAATGTAATAAAGTGAATAAACTCAGTTTCTCATTTTAAATTGTCAAAATTAAGTATGAATAATGGAAAGGTGGCAAAGGGGCAGTAACGGGGAAAAAACTAGTAACCCGCTATTTGAAGTTACTACACAGAAGTGTAGG